TGGTCCGACGGCTATGGACTTTGAGCATCACCTCGGCATATTCAGGGGCCACGTGTGCACTGGCGCCTGCTGAGGGGCTTGTGGCATTGTTCGTGGTGGTCCAACTGCTGCCTGCTAGCCTTTGTGACTCGTCTTCAGGAACCTGCGCGTAGCGATATTCGTCTGTGGCTGCTGTTGGCTGCAGAGGTGGCAGGACCATTGCGGCTTCGGTTCCAGCTCATGGCTTGCTGGTGTACATGATGCGACGCGGCAGATGACGTGATCACGTGTGTAAGCTTCTGATTCGTTGTGCCATGTTGTGCCTACACATGTACGTTTCAAGTGACCGATCGTTATTGAGGTCTCGAGGGCATTGATCGGCGGAGAATCTGAATCCAAAGCAAGCTCAGGGTGCACTGCATTCCAGCCTTGTCACACTACCAGTGCTGCGGCAACAGGTTCCGAGCTTATCTCACTTATCCTGGAATACTTGAACACGTAAGCTTCAAACTTGTTTGGCCAAGCCCTGCCGTCCGCCGCATTGCGCGTGTACGAAGGCTTGACCGCGAGCGGTTTTAACTGTGCCACACCCTCAACTCTGAACCTTAAACCCTAAACCCTAAACCCTGAACCCTAAGCCCGGCCTCTTGGCAGGTCTCCCGAGCTTCAAGCCTGCCCCTAAGCCCTAAAGCGTAAACCCTAAGCTCCAAACCCTAAACCCTACTTGTAGTAGCTGTATATAGTCACCCTAAACCCTTAACCGTAAATAAGTGCACCACTTGCTGGAGCATTGCATGTGGCTGAAGCGCGAGCTTTTACTGTTGAGGCATTTGTGCATTTGTTCATGCAGTTGGTGTGGAAAAAATGCTCGGACCGTTTGGTATTTATGTCCGCGAGCCTTTTAAACCTCCGTGGAGCCCTGAAGCCGACAAGGTCCAGGCGGTCCAGAGATGTGGAGCTGCAAATCGAAGCACAGGGCCTAATCGTCTTTAACGATGTTTAACGGTTCTTAGCACAGGGACCGGGCCTACCAAGTATTCCTTGTAGCATTGCATAGGCGGGGCGGCAGGATTCTAGCAACCGGTTGGTGGTTTGGAATTTAGAGCTTCGCGACCTGGATGGGAGCAGTTGAACACAGGCAGCCTCGCAGACACATGAATGGCCGAGTCGGGCCTTACACAGGCTAAATCCTGCAACCTAAACTCTAAACAACATCCAAGCCCTGGTATCAGGGTCTTGGACAGCGGACGATGTGGCAGTCCGTGTCAACGCATATAAACTCATAAAGAAGCCATAAAACGTAGTCCATAAACCCAGAATTGACGAAGCTTTGCATTTAGGGTTTCCAAAGGCTCCTAGGTGTAAACGCTGTTCGATGATAGCTTCAGCGAGTCAAGTGCTGCGAGGATTGTCAAGGCTGCTTGTTGACTTGACCAGTGAGGTTTCTGAGCTCTGAATCCTCCAGATCAACCTCTCCCGTCGATGCGCAGTCATGGGGCCGTTTTGCTCCACGGCAGCAGCCACCACCTCTTGAACAGTGCAAGGTCTGACAGATGGGAACTTTAGGAAGGCTGAAATTTTGATGCTGCGTGAAATAGACGTTCATGCTTGCGGCTTCTGCTACTCGACAAGGCTATTCGAGCAACTTTTGTGCCTCCCGACTGCCACGTAGCCTCTCTGAGGCATACTCAAGTGCATCAGCGTCCTGAAGTCAACTTGCAGAATGAAGAGTATGAATCACAGCCTCGAGTATCACATCGAAAACCTTATAAAGCAGTCATGGGGAAGCATGTCCCAGTGCCATCCCAGCAGTCCTGCTTGATGGCAGTGGTGACAACCTGTTTGGTGCACCACGTCAGAAGCCATCACATGGGCGTAGTTACACGCCGAACAGCTCCCAATTCATCCTAAGCTGGGGGTCCACAGCTTAGAATGAAGGTCTTCAGCCTGAAGCCCTACCTGAGGAGTTGGCTTTCAAATCTCAAACATCGTTTGAAGCCAATGCCTCCTGGTCATCCAGAAGCGCGGGCGACGCGAACCTGACGAAACGGCAAAGACATCGAACCGTGAGTATCGAAGAATCCGAACTTATTGTCAAGATAAGGCTTGGCTTTGACGAGCTACGTGCTAGGTGTCCATCGAAGCACGTGCCAAGAGAAGTCTTCAATATGTATAGACCCTGACATCATAGAAGTTCCTGAGCTTTCCCTTCCCGAAAGCCAAAAAACTCAGTTAAGCTGCTGGAGTGCAACACCCTCCTCTGCAACTGCCGCCAGCACAACTTCCTTGTCCTCGCAGCACCAAGGCGAAAGGTTTGTGGAGATGTCCCTTAGCCCTAAATAAGGCCCCAGAAGCTGCACTTGTTCTAGTCTCCAGAAGCCAGCTGAAGAGGTAGCAGGTCGTCCCGAAACGCACTTGTGCTGGAGTCTGGGATGTAGCAGTTGGCTTCGAAACGCATCAAAACGCAACCCAAGGCTGAGCCCTGATCCCATGGGATCCCTTCTGATCCCCCCCCACCTGTTGTGCCGCTGGGTCGTCGCGAAGCCGCTCCCAGAGATCAGACATGGTTTGCTATGGCGCGGACGCCCGGCTTAGCCTCTACAACTGTTGATGTCATTGTGGGGTGCTTGGAGGCTTCTTTGGGTTTGCTCGGTGGTTTCGCGCGTGGTTGGCTTCTGTTGGATTCATTTGGCAATTTTTGGGCTGTGGTTGGTGCGGCTGCTTTCTGCTGATTCTGGTTGTTGCTTTGCGGTTTTGAGGCAGTAGGGGGTGCTGATGGTTCTGGTCGTGCTCTTTCTCCTGGGGTTTAGATGTTGGTTTTAGGAGAGCTTCGGGTGTGCAAGTGCTAGGGCCTCCCACGCGCCTTTTGCTAGCTAATCGGATAGGCATTGGCACTACTAGAGTCAGCGGCCGGAGATTTCAGAATGTGTCCTACAAACTTGGCACAATTTGCCCAAACGAGGTCAGAAAAGGCTTTGATCTGCTTACCACTGATGAGTGAAGCTCTTGTAAAACACACACTCACACATTGGGTGACTGACGTTCTATGGAGCCCTGACACACAATCACGCAAACATATTCATGTGGAGGTCAAAATGAGTTTGGGAGCCCCGAACAAACTCACAGAATTCAGCAGCTTGCGCTCACCAACGAGGAGGAAGGCTTGGCATCAATGTGGGTGTTGCAGGCATCCATCAAATCACCCCACTATATCCCGCTACTATGTGCCACTGCTCTTGGGAGCAAACTTGCGCAAAGCGAGCATCGTAAGGCGGATAAACCAGGTTTTCCCCGGTGGTCCACCCTGCCAGGAAGGAGGAGAATCCACCGCAGCACTTGTTTGCCTAGGTCTGGACGAATAGAAATGTAGCAATCTACGAATCTATGCAAATCGCATTTGGGAATATGTAGATTGTGAAAATCCGGTCCAAAGAGTCTCAAGAACTATCATGCGCGGTAAGAAAGATCAAGATCATGAGCAATGATGTGCTGGTGGCCCACGCCATTCATCTCTGTTGTCTTGATGGCACACACAAACACAATCAGTCACCATGCCCACCATCTTATACACACCGTATAAGCTTGCGAACTCTGCATGTTCCACGTCCCCTGAGCAAAGCTTCAGCCTTCTCAACCTTGCTTGAAAACACCGAATTTTGACCTTAAGCTCTCCTTTCTCTCCCTCGAGTCGCTGAGTGGAAAGCTTGGGAAGGCACTCCAGGCGGAGGCAACCCTTTTTGTTTGGGGGGGGCTTCTCCCCTCATTGTGCTTCTCTGCCTTGGAGCCTTCAGCCCTCGATGTCATCCCATGGCTTGTCCACACTTGGGAACTCAGACTCCCCATCTGCTGCCAAGGGAGCTGTACAACTTGCTGATTGAATCTTATAGGGCCATAGGCAGTCATAGCGATCAAGATTTCAGGGTCAGGAGTCTGGGCGTGAAGCTGAGGCTTATCAGGCACTGACCGGCATGGCATTGGCAAAGTAGACTGGCACCCCCGGCGAGCAAACAAGCTGACGTGGCTGGCTTTAAAATTCTACCGGAACTTGCGGTGCGCAGGTGGGAGAATGCCAGAGAAGAGTTGAACCCAATCTTGAGGGTCGTACAGTAAGGGGGGGTCTTTGGGCAAAAGTCACTTCAGACCGTCCCGCGCCTCAGTATGAATCATGCATGATTGCATGGCCCGCACGCTATGTACAAAAGCTCGGTCCACTACTTCACTACTGTCTCCACGGCCACAGAGAGCGGAAAGCTCCTGAGTCGGCGGCGCTGGACTTGTGAGAACAGTTTCGTACAGTCTGTAGAATTCGACATTTGAAGCTTGTGGTCACTCGCGCAGTCGCAATGCTTGTGTCTAAGAAGCCAAGTCAGGCATGCAGAAGAACTCTTTCAAACGCATTCAGTTCCCTTCCGAGCCAAGGGCCCAAACCCAACTGAATGCTAATTCCCAAGAATCCAAGACCACGCAAAAATCAATAACTCATATGGCCAACGCGCGTATATGAAGTCCAAGCGTCGTCGAAGAAATCCCAAATGCTCCGCTTCCACAGCGGGCCTTGGGGTCCTCCGAGCGGACGCAGTGACAGTGAGGGGTGCAGCACTTCAGTGACAAGGCATCCCGAGGTCGTCCAGAGATGTCCACCGTAGGAGCTCTGCAGTAATGGGTTTGGGAGAGATTTCGCAACATTAGAACATCTCAAAAAGAAGTTGGTCACAATTGCGATACATGAATGAGCATATGTATATAAATATATACACATGTTCTAAGCATATATATATATATGTATGTATGTATATATACATATACATACTATGCATTGCAAAGGGGTGTAGGGCACATGTTTAGGGTTTCGGCAGGGCATTGCTCTGTGCTGGATGTTCAGCCCAATCTTGTGCTTTCTTTACAAAATCCAAGCTTGACCGCAAGTTCCCCGTAAGCAGGCAGGACTTTTCGTGTAGCTTGAGCGCTGGCGTGACTGAAGCGTCCCCGTTCTTTGCCAAGCGCTCAGCCAACCGACGGATTTAAGCCTCAGCTCTTCGACGTGCAATCCATTAGACCCTAACCGCCCTAAGACTCTGCACTTAAAAGCACGGTTTTGGCGAGGGAGGTGTTTCCAATTCCTGCGGCAAAATGTGTCTAGTTCAGCAGACCACAAAATTTTCGACTTGAAGATGCCAAAAGTAAAAGTACGAACGGATATGCCAGATTGGCTCCGTTGGCACTGCTGCAGCTGCTATCAGCTACTGCAACTGTCACTTCTGCTTCCACTGCCGAGGCGACTGCTGCTCCCATCACGAGAGTGCTGCTGTGGCGACGTGCTCAAGGCAAAGAGTTCCCTCCAAAAATCGCAATGCTGTGAAGCCAGGGGAGCTTTCAGCAACTTGTTCAAGCGCGGCGACATGCCGTAGGAGTGGAACCTGACAAGCCGGAGATGAAGACCAGGTGTAAACACTGTGAGCCCTCGCCAACCCTATGCAGGAACAAGCTGGCTGCAGGAGACCGCACGCCGAGTAGATAACAGGTAGATTCTGCTCAAGCTCCTGGGGCTTGGACTCACGCCGCACCTGACAGACTTGAAAATGGGAAGGGGAGGGGATTGGAGAGGACAGGGACGTCTGGGTGCGGGTGTTCAACTTCCCTGCCTGTGCTATGGGAAGACAAACCAAAAAGATAAGCACTGATGATGTGCAACGTGCAGATACTGAAATATGTGATTGCCTGGTCATTTCCTACAACGTGCGCTACACTCGCTACAATTGCCAGACGGCGGTGGGGCTGAATGCCAAAGCCGATTTTGGTTGTGTACTGAGTTATGGTATGATGGCACTTGAAGGGTACATCGCACAACGGTTTTAGCGGTTTCAAGTAGAAAGGAGCACATTGGTAACAACTGTCCAGACAAGCTCAATTTGCTGCCCCAGAGAACCCCGAGACCCTAGCAGCGGACTTTACTTTCAGAATCTTTCACAGCTCTAATCTACTTGCGAACATCCGCCTGCCTCACCCAACATCCCTCAGAATGAAGTGCAGAAAAGAAACCCCTCAACCCCAACAAATCCGAAAAGCAAGAAGCATCAGACATACTGCCCTCACCTACACTCCTATGCACCCAGGCAGACTAAGTGCCCGCAACGGCAGTTAAGCAACATCTTGCAACCCTAAATGCCCCCTACATGATCGGCAATCCGAAGCTCCTAAGTCGTTGAAGCCCCCGAGCCATTCAAACCCACGGATCCCTCAAGCCCCGCCTGGTAGGGCGTCTCGTAATCCGTGGGGATAGTCCCGCGGACTTTGCCCGCCTGGCAAGAAGATTTAGAAAGTCAGGGTTCGAGGCTTGTTCTTACAGTCTCACAGGTAGTGAGCCAGTGCTTCGGCGATCGACGTCTGCAGAGTCTCGCATTTCGTAAGTCGTTTGTTGCTGAGATTGCCGGTCAGCAAGTCGTTATGGTATGAACAAGTGCGAGCCCTGGTCACATCTCCGAGTCTATGCGCAGGGCTGCAACTCCAACGGCGAGCCTTCATCCAACTGCGCCATTTGGGCGGGCTGCGCAAGATCGCCTCAGGAACAAAGATGATCGGATGTCTCAAGCCCTAAACCCTAAACCCTGGACCCTAGACCCTAAACCCGGAAGGGTTCGACTTATCGAGAGTCTCCATTGAGCAGACCTCTTGACCTGAACTTCGGCCACGCAACGTCGATCACAGCTGCCATGATGTGGTCGGCAACCTCGGGTTTAGGGTATCTAAAGGTTATGTCGTTCTTTGTGCTCTTCGGCAGCTTAAAGGCTATATATGATACACAAGCAAATAAAGCGACATCCGATACAGAGTCGACTTGGCTAGACTAGAACTCACAGGTCGAGGCTGCAACGCTGGAGATGAGAAACGATGAGAGCGCGGCTGAGAACAGCTCAACTAAGAACAATGCGCAGTCAGGGTTTTGTTGGCATCATGAGACTGACATACCCAACGGGCCCGCGGTCCTGAACCCTTTCGCGAAAATCAAGACATCAAACGTTTTTCTGAAATCCTCAACTCCAAATTGTCAGCCTGAGGCCGGTGCAGGCATGTCACTTCGAGCCTGCAAGTCCACCTCAAATGACTTCCGCCAGTGCTTGGTGCTTTGTTTGAGCTTGGACTTCGGGCGGGGTCAGGGTTTGTAAATGGTCTTTGGTGCACGGTGCAACGATGTGTAACGCTTGAGATCACACAATGGACTGAAGCGAAAGATCGCCTCCACACACGCGCATTTGTTTTGTCGAGCCCTTTTCACTCTGTTAAACAGGTCTTCGACAGCTGCCAAGCAACGTGGACGTCTGCCTCCTGCCACATGTCGATGGGGTCAGCGGCACTGGCAGCACAAGGTGCTCGTGGGGGCACTCGTGGCATGCAGGCACTTGCATGAGTCGTGCAGGAATTGGCTAGGGTAGCTTGGAATAGGATCTACGAGAGGGCTGCTAAGGCACTTGTCACAAGTTGAGCTGTCAACACACCTTGCGATGGCACTCACTTAGCCGAATGTGGCCAGGAGAGAAAAGTGACATCTCAGCTATAGCTGTCTTGCCGAAGCCCGGTAGCAGCAAGACCGCTGCTACATCCCTGCGGCAAAGCCTGGTGTCATGGCTATTAAGAACCTTTCGGTCAAATGTTGAGGACACGGCTCGATCTCCTTGGGCCGGTTGAAGCCGAACTCCATGGCCCTCAACATCATGGAGATATGGACAGGATTGGCTGCCTTATCGACTTAACATGACTGAGCCAGAGATTCAGAAGCAGTTTCAAAGCAGTTCCTATAGCACAGGGCGGCTGCAGCCACAAGCTGTAAAAATGAAAAGCCCCTGCTTCGCGGGCTTCGCGGGCTTCGCGGGTACAAGCCACGAACGCGGCATGGAGGCCAAGCAGTGCAGGGGGAGCAGGGGGAGCAGTGCAGCAGGGAGCAGCTCTGTAGAGGTGACGGGTGGAACAGGACAAAGAAGGCAGGGCCTTCGCAAGCGTTGATCCACATACCTTCCCCACTCTTTAAGCCTGTCAAAAGTAGCACCCTTTTTGCCGAAGAGAATCCTCCAGGCACGTGAGTTGTGCGACGTTACATAAATCACATCTCCTTACAGCAGACAAATCAGAAAAGGCCATGCAACATCGCGTAAATGGCAGCCTGAGCCAGTCTCAGCTCTGGACTATAGCCGCTAAAGCTTGCAAACACGCCAGCTTGTCAGGATCCGGGCTTGGTATGGCTTGGTATCGCAATCTCCCCCTGCCTGACTCAAACCTCCAAATCCCCCCATCACTCCGATTTTCTGGGCCGACTCCTCGATATGCTGGGCTCCCACACTTCTCAGGGCCAAAGGCCGCCTTCTTCTTGGGAAACTTCCTCTTCCTTCCCAGGTGTTTAGGTCCGTGTAGAGAGAGTCTTTGAGTTCTGTTGTACGGTAAAGGGCTTGGGATGTCGGATGCAGGATTTGAAGTCCTAAAGCTTCCTACGGGCGCAGGGGGATTACCACTCATGCATTCGTCAGTGTGCTCAAGTGCACATGCGGGTATCTGCCTTTGTTTTGCGACTCTGTCGTCTGGGTGACCCCTTCCACGGCTGTGCAACAGCATCGACTTAGCTGACACTAGTCCACACCCGGCAAAGGTCGGTGTGCTTGCGCTACTTGGGAAACATGCTACGCAACCCAGATCCCAACCCAAATGATTCCATCAGCCCCTTCGATTGACACGAACAGCAGAAACCTCAGACCAGCTCGAACCACTTCAAACCCTTCAACCTCCTGGTCAGGGCTTCCTGGGAGCCCCACCGGATTTTCTCGCGCGCTCTCACGTCTCGCCTCTCCCAGCCATCCGGATCGAGCCAGACCTTGCCCGGTATTGAAAATTTCGTGTTTCATCTTGGGGTCCAAGGGCAGCAAGATAAACTCAGCAGTCCCGGGGGCTTGCCGCGAATGGTACCAGGTGGTTCTCATGGCGTGTCCTGATCTGCTGCCAGGTGGCTATGAGCCCATGAATCATCACTTTCCATGGCAAGCGGGTGACGCCTTGGAGACACAGTGGACCATGATTGCAGTGATGCAATCCTGTTCACGATGTATCATCCTGCACTGCCTCGCTACATTCCAACCCAGATGACTGCCCATGGAGCTGATTGTTGACAAGATGACTCACGTTACGTTGTAGGGTTTCCTCTTGCCACGGTCTCTGGTCTCGTTTTGTCATACACGTTTCAGAGCAGCCACCGAAACTTCTTGCTGCCTGCGCGCCGGTTAGTGGCGGCACGGCAATCACCTTTTCCAGCTGGCCAGTCTGGCATTGTATGCTTGATATCTGCACTGGACGTCATGAGAGGTCTCAGGGCTATAGGTTTGGGGATGAATAATGCCTCAGGCAGAGAATTCCGGCTCTACAGCGTGGTGGTTGAGAAAGTTGTGTTGTGGAGCTCTAGTGCATCCGACCAGATTCCAGATCTTAACAAAAGGGCACATCATGCACTACTCTCTTTATTTTCTCAGCAGTGCTGGCTGCAAGCTTTCCGTCAAACTGTTTTTGAGAGAAATCAAACCTAGATGGGTTACGTGCATTCATCTTGCATTGATGCTACCGCGTTGTCGGTGTGGGGTTTGGAGCAATTGCTGCAATGTTTCGCCGATGTTTCAGGATTGCAGTGCTTTAAGACCTTGGTGGAAAGTAGCGGATGTTTCTCAAATCCTGGTGAATCAGTCATGCGTCCGGAAGGTGCGCCCAGACGTTCAATCGCACGTGACGTTGCCGGTAATGCAGATTCACACGCCGTTTGCGCTGTTTCATTTTCCCACTAGGTGGTGGGCTTTGCAAGCATAAGAAAGAGGTGGAAGAGCGGGCTGCTTAGGTGTAGATGTGTTGAAGGCTGAAGGCAAAGGGCGTTGTTTCCCAAAGCCGCAGCCCCTTCAAGGAGACAAGTTCCATGAGCAACAGCAAACCAGGCCAGGTGCACAAGTTCCCCAGCCGCTGCGAGGGTCGTAGCTTCAAAATCCATGAAGGTGTAGTTGATGCGCTCCTGGATGGGCTCAGGGGTACCCTGCCCTCTTCGCAACTTGTTGCACATGAAGCAGAGTGCTCCAAAATGGGAGCACTCACATGACCTCGAGTCAAGTCTGCTCCTGAAGGAACTGGAAGCTGAATCATTTGTGGCCTTGCCTTTCGCCAAAGTGACCAACAATGTGAATGTTGCCAAGTTTCGGCAACCAGCTTGATGTCTTCCCTGTACGAGTCCAAGTCTGGTCCGACCAAGTAGACATTTGCATCCTTGGACGGATTCGGTTGTCGGCAGATAACCCAACGATTGGACGGCCGTCATGCGGCCTCCAAGAATACATGTAGGTGTACAGGTTTCAACATAAACAGAAAACTGTTGCGGTGCGTTCTAAGCCTACACCTTCTGCTGACTTACTATCCATGAGCAGGCCATACATCCAAATGTTATTGGTTTGGCTCAGAATCTTCTGCGGCAGCGTGCTTAGATATTGGGCCAGGGATGTGCAGGCTCAATGCCTCGCAATCTGAGCTGCTAAGAAGTCTGTTGGAGCACCCTGTTGCATCCTGCGCGAAAAGTCGAGTCAACAAGAGGCTGAGCAAGCTCCTCAGCGAGAGCCCAAATATGTATGCAACAAACTGCCAGGTAGTGGGTTGCAATTGCAAGCACAAGCAGTGTGTCCAAGCTTCCGTTACCAACAGCTCTCGCATGTCAAGGGACAGCTCCTGGAATATGCAGAATCATGAATCGAAGCATGCATTAAATGCTTTGGATGACATCAAGCTGATATCAAGCTGTGTAGAAGTGTGACTAGGCCCTGATTCAGGGCCCTGCCTCTCGAACACGGTATGGAATGTTCGTTCGGGCCTGGAATCCTGAAATAAATATGTCCTATCTGTCGGATGCTGCAACGCAGAAGCGCACGTGCTGCTTGGGTGATGTTCAGTGCTGGTCGGTCAAGGATATTCATGTGGACCCCACTCCCACTCTTTGAACACCTTTGACAGTCTCCTCAGCCGTCTGATCCCACACTTCGATGTCCTGCACAGCAAGATGCCACACGCCAGAGAAGTCAAGCCTAAACCCAAACCTTATACCCATCCCGGTGCCAGACATACCAAGCTCATCATTCTAAGAGACTACGAGTCAAAACTCTCTGCCAAGAGACTTAGACACTTGGGGTGCGTTTGCAATGATTTGTGATGGTTCTTCGAGGCAAGCTCCGTACAGTACAACTCCGAAAACGGCCTTGATCGGCATGCAAGGACACGTCCAACACCCAAAAACCTCCGGTATGGTCACCGCAGGACCGCCTCGACAAACCCAAGTTGTGTCCAAAACAAGTCAAAGTCCGCCCTGCAGCAGAAAGCTTTCAGGCTTCCAATGCAGCCTGGAGGCAGATCCCCGACATGCCGGGAGCCATTCCCAGATCCCTTAAACCCTTAAAACGCACATGCCATCAGTACCTACACAGCAGCGTAGCCACGCGTCAACACCGACAACCGAGTCAACCGAGCCTCTCGGCTGTCGACCTCCACAGCGTCGCTCTCGGCAAACCTGCGCTGTCCAACTCCTTTGTCTTAGGGTGGCTACATGGTCCCTAACATGGGCCCTGGACTGGGGAACTAGCAAACCCAAGGGCCCACACTTCAGAACCCTAATGGACCAGATCCATCGAGGCCGGAGGCCTGAACACCCGACCGCGTGGAGGCCGAGTTTTTTTTGGCCCGGAATGGGGACCCCCCGTGGTAGGATGCGAAAATCAGCATCCCCTCAGCTAAGCCCTAAGCCCTAAACCCCCCTTACCCCTTAGCTCTAAGCCCCAAGCCCTACGCCCTAAGCCCTGAGCCCTAAGCCCTAAGTAAGCCCTGCGAAGCCAAATCCCCAAGCTTTCAAATTTAGTACTCAGCTGGAACAGGTGCCAGACGCCGCCCGAGGCTGCCCCCCCTCCCCCCCAACCCCCTCCCAACCCCCCAACCCCCCCCGCCCGCCCCCCCCAACTCCCCCCCCCCCAACCCCCCCTCTAAAAAAACCCACCCCACGCCCCCACCCACCCCCACCCCCCCTCTGCGCTTGTTGTGGGACGGGCATGCCGCCTTCCCCCCCCCTCACCCCCACTACCCCTTCCTGCCGCCTGGGTACCCTTGTCGAGGCGACCTCGCGTTAGCGATAAAATTACATGCTTTCTACAAGCTGGTGCGCGAGTCGTTTCCGACTAAGCTAGCAAATCCTCCCAAAGCGGTCCGAACCTCTGACAGGGAAGGGAAAGGACAAAATGCTTCAGTTGCCGTGAACCTAGATAAGATACACATGTCGAAACCTCATCACACCAATTCGCTGCAATGCCACGGACGCTAAGGATCTTCGCCCTTGAAGTTCCAATTCAAACATAAATCCAAAAATCTCGACGAGTCTATGCTTATGCCACACTCCTGTCCACAGCCGGCCTGGCAATTCCAGCATCTTGTCGGGTATTGGGCTTGCCACCTGCCCTGGTGCCTCGTGAGGTAACTTGGGTTGTTGAGCTGAGGTTTAGGGTTAGAGAAGCCATCAATGCTTGCAAGGCTGTAGGATCAGCTCCCCGACCTGTTACGAACATGCCAGCTGGGTGAGAGTGTTCCCATGTGCCTCCTAGCAGGATGCTGGCCGCGCTACAGTAGCTTCTTCGGCTTAGGCCAATGTTTAGAATGTCTACAGGTTTCAGTGCAGCACCGGCACCTGACATGGAAACGAAGGTTTGCCATGCGCAGTGGATGCCTGCCAGAAGCAGTCAGCGAGGTTTTTTCTTTAGTTGCTGGGGGGGCTGGCGTTGAGAACGAGAGTGCAGCGAGAGGTAGAGAGGCTGCTCGACAATGGCCAAACGAGGCAGAACTCTGAAACGCCTATCAGGTACCACTTCATCTCAGTATATTTCGGTCTTCGTGACACTCTGATTTAAGTGAGACTACGCGGTCTTGACAGCCGCACGAAAGAGACTTTGCCACTGCCCTGAAACCTATAGTCGGCGATCTTTAAGTGGGTTGCCACAGGCCATGATTGCCTGCGGCTGCGACCACCAGGGCTGTGGCCACGCCTTCCGGAAAAGACGTGTGAACGCACGGCTTTTTCTGCAATTCCTGGCAAGCCTCTGCGAACTCCGCTGAGAGACCGGGGCATGCTCGCCTGGCAATCTCATCCAAGATGTACACGCACACACACCCAATGCCAGAAAACCTCAAGAATTAGAGTTTCCATATAGGCATCGACCGGAAATTCGAGTCGAAGCAACGGGCTCGTGAGCCACTTCAACTTCTAACCCCTCCTTATGATGGGAGTCGGCCTGGGCATCACAACGTGTCAAAGTACCAAGGCTCTTAAGGCTATGCGATGACAGAGAGCTAGTGCAAAGATTCCTTGCAAGACAGAGAGCTAAGGTGCGAGCCGGTCAGATGGCGCTCGTGTGGCTAAGTTGCTCAACACTGTTTGCTTGTGCGCTCTGACAACCTCAACAGCCTACTTCGTGCTGCAGTGCTGACTGTAGACTTTTGGACTTAAACCCCCAAAGTCATGCAATGGAAGCGAAAATCTCATGCTAACTTAGGCTCTTAGGGCGACCTGGCATCCTGTGCATAGAGTTCACAAGCAGTATTGAATTGTTCCAGGTAGGTGAACGGTGAGTGATCGGACTAGAGGCTCCATTTCAGGTCCACCCTCCCTTTGTGACATGCTGCTGCATAGCAGCTAGCTTCAAACTGTCTCGGCCTGCAGGCCTCGAGCCAGCAGCGGTCGCAGGAATCTTGAGAAGCACCCCTGGAACCCACATCTCTGACCCACCAAACACTTCTGCTCAACTTCTGATCAACTTCTGCTCAACTTCTGCTCCTCTCAGCTTCAGCCACCGAGGCATCCTCGGGAAGCTCCATGGACTGGACCTGGGCTGAGCTCTCCGTCAAAGAAGCCCTTTTCTATGGACCTTTGTGGCTCTACGATGCTCTACGATGCTCTATGACCATGGCACCAGAAGGGTTTCGAGGACGGATGAGGGCATTTCACTTGAGGGTCAAGGGGCTGCTGAGATCAGCAGGTGTGGCTACACCCGAAGCCAGGCAGCTATAGCATTTGATGCAGCACTTGACTGAGGACTGCGCGGTTGACAACGAGTTCAAGGATCGTTCAGACAGCCTGGTGGAGTAAGACAGACCACGTATACGTCATCAAGACACAGTCAACATCCCATTTTACCGAACTTGATCCAGGGCCCCCCACCCGCGGCTCTCTGCGGGCGAGTTGTTGGCTTCCTCCAACGGGTACACCATCTTTTTAGTATTTGAAAATTATTCTCGGGGCACGTGATATTCTGTCGCTTGGCTCCAGCGCCTCCTCTGCAGAAGAAGTCCTCTCTGCACTGTGCCTAGGTAGCATAAGCATGCAACGACGCACAAAAAAACCCACACCGGCAGCAAATGGACCCACGAGCGGCTCTGCGTGAGCTGCGTACCTAGACTTTGGTGGGGTCAAGGGTTGAAGACTATCGCTTCGAAAATTGTCATGTACTGCAGCTACCGGAGAGCGAAAACTTAAAGACCCAGGTGATGGAAAATCACATCCTGTGTGCTTGTAGTGCTTGTGCTCCTGTACCGGGAAGATTCTGGACCTCGAATTCTGACCAAGCCACACCATAGGTTGAACCCAAGTGTACAAGACATCGGGAATTGTTACCATTTGTGAAATGTGTGTATGTACTGTATTTACATATAATACCAACGCTTGTAATTTTTCAATCCTGCAAAGCCTGAAGCAATTCCAAAGCTTCTGGGCCCGGGCGGGCTGGACCGCCGGCTGAAGGTCGATCGATCCTGCAGGACGAGGATGGTTTGGAAGGTTTGAGGAGTTCGGAGGGCTTCGAATGCTCCGGGTGTCAATGTTGCCAGAGCTCGCCAGCTGTTGTGGCCACAGAGCAGGCTGAGTTAGGCACGTTGCCAGAGCTGGCTGTCCGGACTAGCAGCTCCAGCATGGGGTACCTTGCGATGATTCTAGCTTGGTTGCAAAGGCAGTCTTGAGTTTCTTGGGACTGTGATTGTAGCAAGACTATGCAAGACTTCTACACCAGACACCGGCACCGAAACAAACCTGAAGACGACTTCCACTAGCCTCTAGCCCAAACTTCTAGCCTGAGTTCTCGGTGTCATGACACTTCTTTGCATTCAAGCAGCTGCCGAAAGCTTGAACACCTAAGCTGCTCCAGCAGCTTGCGTTTGAAGGTCACATGAGGTTGCAGCAGTTGCAGCGCTTCAGTTTCCTCCGACATGAAAATCTTGAACCAGAAGTTGGAGGCTCCAAGGGGTCACGCCCCACAATGAGCCGGTCTTTGTCTTCAGCTGCCCCCCCTCGCCCCCACACCCCACATGCGTGCATTCGTCCAGCGAGTCTTGCTTCTTGGGTTCCACGCGTCAAGGCTTCAGCTTGGAGCTGTTGGGGGTTGCATTCGCTGCTCTTAGAAGGAAGTGGCAACCCCCCCTGTCTTGGGACATCATTGCTCGCATACGCGACCTAAAAGCACCCTGGAATTGCAATCCAACTCTTAGACTCCAAGATTAAGTCGCCAGCTGAATCTGTGTCAACAGGTTCTCCGGCTTCTTTAGCGGATCTTGCTGCCTATGGGGCAGTGTCTGCAGTACTGTACAAGCGTCTCGTTCGGAGCTTGCCAAGGTGTGGGGTGCAGGCGTCAGTTTAGTGACATCGTGCGGTGAAAGGCTGAGAGGAATATGGAGAATTGATCTGCGCAGTCAGCATTGTAGTGCACATGCAAGAGAAGGGCTGCCTGCAAATGCAAAGGTTCAGGTATTTGAGGCAACCGTCATGTCAGCATGCCTTCGCCGATCCCGACATCGCCCCTGCGGAAGAGAAATGCCAGGCCTCAGCAACACGGGCCGTTCATACTCGGAAGACTGCAGAGGCATTGATCCAGCGTGTTCGCGCGCGCTGCTCAGGCATCTTTCGGGACAAAGACCAGGAAACAAGACACGTCAAAAGCCAAAACGCAGCCCATTCAAATCCTTGAAGCACGTAAGAACAAGGCAGGGAGCGACGCTGGCCTGCCAAAGCTGATGAGGGCTGCGGAAGGCGCTTCGTTATGGGGAGATCTTATGCGAGCTCGCTGTCTTGAAGACCATGTGATATGCCCAACACCCCGCATCAGATGTGCGGCATTCAAGAGTTGCTTTCAAGGGTGTTTAGTTGAGGGACCATCATTTTAACCCCGAGGCATCTTTAGACTCCGATCAAGTGATGCAAAACTACAGACATGCGTATCATGCATATCTCTGTGCCCTCTGGCACTTTGAACACCAAGCACCAAGCCCTGCGCAATTTACAAGCTTCAGGTACAAAAGACTCCGTGTCTCAAGACATGCGGGTCTTGCGGCCCTGAAATGCCCGGAAAAGCCCTGAAAACCCCTGAATAGACTCCAACAGCCGCGACCTCTCACACTTTTCCATGGCCTTGCGAGGACACAAAGGCCGGGGGCTGGATCACCTCGGCGGAGCCTTTGCGATGCGACAGGGGAATTTTCTAGGGAATTCTTTGATCGGGATTGATGATGTTTTTTTTTTTTTTTTTTTTATGGAGGATGCTTATATCAGCGATGCTTTCAAACACACACACACACACACTCACACACTCACTCACACACACACACACACACACACACACACACACACACACGCGCGCACGCGCACGCGCACGCGCACGCGCACACGCGCACACGCGCACACATCGGGAGTTTTGGCATCTTTGAGTTCAAGGGCTACCGCCATGGGGATATGAGGCTACCTGGGATGTCCCAATCTCTTTGAGCTTCGGGCTTGCTGGGGTGCTGGGGCATCATGGGACAGATAGGAAAACACGAATTCGTATACCCCTAAACCCTAAACCCTGTTAGGCAGCCCCGTCACTTGTGCCCACGCGATCGCGGTCACTTGTGCCCACGCGGTTTCGGGTCACTTGCGCCCACGTACCCCGTCACTTGTGCCCACGTACCCCGTCACTTGTGCCCACGTACCCCGTCACTTGTGCCCACGTTTCTGGGGGGGTGGGGGGGTGGGGAGGGGGGGGGGATAAGAATAAGCTTGTTTGAGGCGGTCAACACAACCACATCCAGTCAACCACATCCAGTCCCAACGGGTGAGGAGGAGGGGGGGGGAGGGGAGGGGGGGGACAAGAATAACATCCAGTCACCCGCCCTGCAACGGGCGGGGGGGATAAGAATAACCTTGTTTCATGCCACGCCGTCACCCGCCCTGGAAACGGGTGAGGCAACACAACCACATCCAGTCAACCACATCCAGTCCCAACGGGTGAGGAGGGGGGAGGGGGGTGGAGGGGGGGGACAAGAATAAGCTTGTTTGACGCGCTCAACACAACCGCATCCAGTCACCCGCCCTGCAACGGGGGGAAGGGGGGGGGGATAAGAATAAGCTTGTTTGACGCCACACACCACACCCAGTCACCCGCCCTGGAAACGGGTGAGGGGAGGGGGGATGGGGGGGGGTTTCGAGGGGCAAAAACGACTGTTGTTGACCAACGCGCCCTGCACGGTCAGCCGCAGGGGGAGCCCTGCACGGTCAGCCGCAGTGCTTGGGAGGGGGTGCTTGGCGGGCTGGGCGTCTACAGACATCTGACCCTAGGGGGGCCTTCCACGCAAGGCCTCAGGTTAGTTGTTTTTGGGTCCAGGGTTCGGGTTTGGAGGGGCAAAAAAACGACTGTTGTTGCCCGATGCGCCCTGCACGGTCAGCCGGAGTGCTTGGGAGGGGGTGGAGGGGGAAGGGGGAAAGGGGGGGCTGGGTGTTTACAGGCATCTGACCCGAGGGAAGCTTTCCACACAAGGCCTCGGGTCAGTTCCTTCTGGGTTCAGGGTTCGGGTTTCGAGGGGCATAAAAAACGACTGTTGTTGACCAATGCGCCCTGCACGGTCAGCCGCAGTTTTGGGTTCAGGCTTCAGGCTTCAGGGGTGGTTGTTGTCATAAAAAGACGGCTGTTGTCGACCGATACGCCCTGCACACTCAGTTTACAAACATCTGACCCAAGCAGGGCCTTCCACGCAAGGCCTCAGGTCAGTTGCTTTCTAGGGTTCAGGGTTCGGGTTTCGGGGTTTGGGTTTCAGGGTTCAGGGTTCTAAGCTTGAGGGTTTAGGGTTTAGGCAGCTTAGGGTTTGGCCTGTCGGGAAAATGAAACGGGCAACCTGAGAAAACTGCGTCCACTTGAATGGGGTGACAGGTGGCAGGGGCAGAGAGCCTGCCGGATGTGGCAGGGACGCGACTTTTCAACCGACAAACACCTCATCCTGTGGCCCTGCCATATTTTAAGACCGAAAGGTGGGCACAAGTGACAGGTCTGCGTTTTGGCGGGAGGTGGCCCAAAGTGCGGCCCTGCTGTGATTTGAGGCACGTACGCGGGCACAAGTGACCCGCGTAAGGCGGGCACAACTGACCAGCCTAAAGCGGGCACAAGCGACCGGTCTGCCAACCCGAAACCCTAAACCCTAAACCCGAAACCCTAAAACCCACCCACCTGTGAGGAGGCATGCGGGATTTGCGGGGCCATGGGGATCCAAGTCGAAGGCGTGAGGGATCAATCCGCGGTTCGAGCGGGACCGGACATGTTCGCATCTTCGCCAACCTTAAGGGGCCCCTAAAACCAATTCAACACCGAAATCATTCAAAGAAACACGCACGCGCGCGCACGCACACACACACACACACACACACACACACACACACACACACGCGCGCGCACGCACGCACGCACGCACGCACGCACCCACCCACCCACCCACACACACACACACACACACACACCCACACACACCACACCACACACACACACACACACACACACACACACACACACACACACACACCACACACACACACACACACACACAACACACACACACACACACCGCACGCACACACGCACGCACACGCACCCCACCCAACACACACACACACCACATAACACACACACACCACACACACACACACACACACACACACACACACACCCACACACACACACACACACACACACACACACACACACACACACACACACACACACACACACACACACACACACACACACACACGCGCACGCACGCATGCACGCACGCACGCACGCACGCACGCACCCACCCACACACACACACACACACACACACACACACACGCTAAAAACTTTGTGCATGTATACCGGATACGGATATACCAAGCGGCAAATTGCATCAAGAACGGTGCGATTCCTGCTTTATATCATCGCTTGTTCTTGAATACTTGAAGCTTCGCGAGACGAAAGAAACACCGTTACTACGGAGCCTCAAGTTCCAGAGCCCGCCAAAACCCACAGCCGGGGTCCGGTCGCGGCCGTTGGGGTGGCCGGCAAAAGTCATCTCCGGCGGCCGCCAGAGGCCTGCTCCACCAAAAAACCAGCCAAGTCTCGAGGGTCTCAGAAGGTTTTGAGACTTAGGCTTGGTGAGGTGGGGATTTGGCAAGGCATCAGAAAGCCTGAGCACTTGAGCACTTATGGGGTTTGGCCCGACGCTGTTGGCTTCGGGCACCAGGGCTCATCATGCAACATGTTCCTTGAGCTGCTTTCCTAATCTTCAAGTTCTAGCAGATAATGGATGGTGCCTCACTGCATAAAGCTAACCTCAAGAGCTCGAGTTGCCTATAAGTTCGCACCGCACGCCGGAAGTCCAAACCCTGTTGTACGAAAATCTGCAGGCGGCAGCCGGATTGAACCTCCTACTGGACCATCTAAGGGTCACTTTTGAACAATCCCTTTGTTTGGGGTGTTTCGGTGATGTGGTCACGTGATGCCATGCAGCATGCAGAGATGCCTTGCAAGCATCGCTTCTCTGCGCAGGCAAGGGGCACTTCAGGATGAAGGGCCCGGAGCCCTTCACAAACCCTATACGGCCCGTGACCCTGGAGGCCTGGAGTTTTAAAAACGCTTGCGACAACCGTCCCATGAAAACCTGCAAAGAGCACTAGACCTGGCCCTGCGGGGGTCTGAGCCGTGGCAGCCGGCATTTGAGTCTGACATGTTGAAGGAATGGATATGAGAAGAAGACAAAGCTCGCGGGGGATAGTCGGTACTCAAGGTGGTGCAGTATAAGGGGTATCCTTGGCTTGTGCAAGGCCCTCTTAGCAACTTCCTACTGGAGGAATACCATATGCCACTGCTTTGATTGGTGCCGCACTGTAGCAACGTAGCTCGTTAAGTCAGCCTGAAAGCCACGCATGCCTTTGGCCAGAACACCTTTTCATTTAGTCTAAGCTTCAGCTCTGTTTCGCAATGCTCACACTTCCTCAATATGCCCAGACTGCAATTTTATTCCCGCACCGCCTCTGGCTGTTGCAAAGTCTTGAAAACTGTATGTCAAGAGGAAGGTAGTGAACACGTCAGACGAACCGAAGCAGATTCCTAAATAGTCCATTCTAGTGAGGGGCAACCATCTTAGCATCTGATTACGGACGCCCTGCCAAAGTCTGTGCAGACCTCGAGAGCGCATCTGTCCTACTGTAGCATGGCAGGCAACGTAGGTCCCGATGTTACCAGATTTTCAGGAACATGGAGAACTGCTGACACAATGCTGAAGTGAGTGCAATATTCGAGAAGTTGCATCGTAATTCTAGAATAACTTTAGTTGACTTTAGGAACGAGTCATGCAGCTGCAAGCAGGTGAGACGGTGTGCAAGACAGGTGCCTTTGGCAACCTCATGCAAGCCGCTCCCAGCACTGATCACGCAGGCTGTACCCTAAGCATGCTGGGGATTTATGGAGGGCAGATGCTTGTGCGTTCTCCGAGCATAGGATCGTATCGAGGCCTCTTCGGGGTCATGACAATCAGAAAGCACAGTGCTTTGAGGCATATAGAAGCTGAGCATCGATGCGGCTCTTGCCAAGCAGAGCTGACAGAGGCTTCAGGGCTTCCGGGCGAAGGGGTTTTGGGACTGAGGTGCAGGTCGACATGGTTGAGGGCTTCGGGAATTTACGAAGTTGCGGTGCGGAAGTTCTAAAAGGGGGTCCCTGCCAAGGCCAAGGCCAAGGCCGTCCTGGGATTCTTGAACAAAGATGCGTGCTGCATGGTTGGGAATGCAAGTATCGAATCCGTTGCAGGAGGAATTGCAGCTGGGAGCAGAGCATCGCAATTCCGCCTTCACGCATCCGGCCCTTAGTGGCTCAATCCGCACGCATCGCATTCCTATACTTGAACCCTAAAGGCCCGAAAGCGCACGCGTGCCGTCAATTGAACCGATCTCAATGCTCATACGGAGAGACAGCTTCAGAATGCAGTATGGTTCGGTCGTCCGAGCTGCTGAGGATTTCTGAGATTCCGGCTCTGTTTCAGGCTGGATATCCTGCAGCAGAAGCCCTCAGCTGTACAGCTTGAGCTCAATGCCTTTGACTTCAAGGATTGATGGTGTGTTGGAAAGGGCAACCAAAGCAGGCCCTCTGCAATAGTGTAGCCGAATCCGGTGAGAGCTGCACACTATGCAAGAAACCCGAACATGCTCCAACTTTTAGGCCTTAGGGCATCAGAGAGCCTCATCTCAACACCCTTTCGAGGTTAAGCTGCACACAAGTCAATCAGCATCTGTTTTGGGTCTGTCCTCCCCCATCCTCCGCAGTCTCTAGCTCAAACTCCTCCTCCGCATATTCAGATGCGCCTGGCAGGATCTCTCTCTCAGGCATGGAGAAGTCCAAAAACAAGGCTGCTTCACTCCTACGGATGAGCTACATCGCAGGAATCCAAAAAATGTTGGAAAATCCAGCTGGCCGAATCTCCAGGAGCGTAGATGTGAGCACCAAGCACTCCTTAAGTTGATGTTGAATTTACTGCACCAAAAGCACCAAAAACACGCGAGCACCCAACAACATCTTCAAAGCGCTTCCTCTGCGAGCTTGGCAGAGCCTTTCTGAGACATCTGGCACTGATTTCCAAAAGGGCAGCCAGCCTGGTGCCGGGGAATCTCCATCGAAGAAATCCTGCCAACGCTCTGGGCAGCAACTATGTTTCTTTGCTCGAAGGCGGGTCGGCTGCTTCGACCTAACACCACTCCGAATCATTTTTCAATCTCAGTCTGAGCACTCAAAGTGCTCCTCACCACGCTCGGCGACGGATCGGTCTCTGAGCACTACGACATCGTTGAGTGGCTTGCCACCATCCTGGGCCAGGACTGTATCCTAATGCATCCATCTCCGGCTAGGGCCTTGAGAACTACTGCAAGTAGCAGGACCTGGGTACCTTCGTCCGGCTACTCTGTGTGCGACTCTTTCGTGGCTACAGCTTCGGATTGCGAAGCGTTTCCGTGGTAATATTTGTGCGGTTCACGTGGCAACGACCCGTCTTGACCTTCTTTGAAGCTGAGCGCGGAGCCCAACCCCCAAAGATGATCAGGTGGGGACCTCTCGAAGACAAGCTCGGACTCCGGGAACTAGCTTATAAAGCATGCAAAAAAACCGTGCAAAACATTGCAAAACCATGCGTGCGCACGTCTTCCAGTGAGTTGCTTAACTGAAAGCTGCAGGCCGCCCAAGTCCCCGACCGATGGCCGTGGCCGTGTGCCCGTATCGTTTGGTCGGTGGCGCGCCTACGTAGCGATTCGCGACCTCAGCTGCTTGGGGAATTGCTCTTCTTGCTAATTTTGAAAAATCATTGAAGCATGCCTCAAGCATTCAAGCTAAGCCTGCGAAGCATATGCTCGTCTTAGCCCCTAACTTCTGAACCCTGCAAACCCTGGACCGGCATAAGCCCTGAGTCCTCTGGGGAGCTGTGCCCACTGCATGTCGGATGTTCGCAGTGTCCAGCCTGGGCTGTGGGAAACTCAGGATGAGGCCCACTGGGAAAGAAATTTGGAGCTGCCCTTTTGAGTTTTGCGTTTGTGGAGGCTTTGGATTCGCGATGGGGGAAGGGGGGGGGGCATTGGGGGTTCGCATGGGTTCGCCAAGGAATGAAGGAGGGCTCAAAAGCGTAAAGCGCATGGTATCGGGAGCTTCTTGCGACGCCTTGGGACACATTGGGAGGGTCTCCCTTGCGCCACATGAGGGAGCGTGGGGGTGCTGCCAGTTCCGACTCCCCCCCCCCCCAACAGTCTCTGGGACCTTATGCTACCAGCAGGGGTCCCCAGCAGTACTCGCACGTCTGCTCTTGGGAGGCGGATGGCTCCTTCTCCTCGTCCTCTGCCACCTCCGCCGGATGGATTTCTGGGAGGATCGATCCAGCACACATGTCTTTCCAAAGCTCCAGCACCATCCGGCCTTGCCGCGCAGGGCGAACGCCACACCAGGTGCCTGAGTTTGCTTCGACTCCCAGTCCAAGGCTTTTGTGAAAGATCTGAGTTCGGAGCAGTCAGGGCATCAAAGGCATGGCAGTGGTGAATCATGATGGACCATGTCAAGATTCTTAAGGGCAGATTTGCTTTCGGTAGCAAGAGCATTCAGTGTGGGGGAGGCCTGCCAAAACCGAAGCCACTCAAGTCCTTCATCCCAGGCCCTGGCTGGCGCAGAGTTGCCACCCCAACCTGCAAGGAGCTTGCGATTCCAGGGGTTTGTGGTTGAGCACTCTCCATAGGCGTGTCTGCCTTTTTCGGATATACATGTACCAGTATCCACAAAGGGTTTTTAAGTGTTGGAGGCTAGGGGCCCAGGTTCCAAAATCTCACGTTCTAAAAATGCTGCTTCCGGCATGAACCCAATAAGGATTACAGGGCCTTTTGCTTGGCTCAGTTCTTCCTGCAGGTATGTATGTATTTAAACCCGAACTTGCTTCTCTCACACAGAGAACTCAAAGCCCACAATGCAGGCCAACAAACCTCGCCTGGACCCCTCCTCTACAATACTTGTCTCAAATCAATTGAAAGAGAGCTTGTCATGTACTATAATTTGCTTGTACGCTGCAGAGCATGACCTTAGTTGCAGCTTGATGCCAGGACCTTGCCAGCCAAAAGACTTCCAATGTCTGCAAATCAAGTGCCCTAAAATCCTAGACCCGTCGAACGCTCTTGAATTCTCGGAAGAGGCGACCTCCGAAGATGACAGCGTCGTCCTCACACTCAGCAGCACAGGCTTCAGGCTTCAGGCTCTGGGGTTCCGTGAAGGACGGCGATCGCTCTTGCAGTACTGAGCTACTTGACTTCTCTGGCACAGAATGGAAGGAGTCTAGGTACGGCTTATCATCGGGGGAGGGCAATATGAACAAATTTAAAGGACTTTTCAAGGCTGGCTTCGGATTGAGGGGCGCGCTGGGCAAAACAGGCACGCTCTGGCTTGTACCTTTAGCTTGGGCAAGTTTATAAGTAATCGTCCTGTGGAGGGACTGGGTTCAGAGCTGAGGGCGTTGGTTCCCTTGCCCATGATCCGGCCGACCATCCCAAACTGCACGGACCTCGCTGAGGGTCGCGGTGTGGCTGAACCGCCCGGTGGGAGGTGAGCCGTGCGTGCGTAGCCGCGACCTAACTTGGGCTTGGCTTCCGCGGCTTGCATCACTCATGGCCAAGAATACGTGGAACTCAGAACGTGGAGCCCTACCCTACACACTGCCACACCCACAACTCTTCTCCTGAGGGTCGTGCCAAAGCATGCGGCTCAAATCCAGAACGCGAACCTTGCCAGGAGCCAAGATGCTGCCCGCCAACTACGTTACAAATGAAAGAGACAGCAGCACAGGCTCTGAAAGCTCCGACAGCACCAAGGCAACAGCAGGACAGGCAGCGGACTTCCTCTGAAATGAAGAAAATTTCCAGCACGATCCGACAGAGGCTCCGTCGGTACACCGAAACCATTCGCGACACGACCACCAGGGCACGACGTATGGCAGGGGGCTTCAAAGCCATGCGCAAAATGGAGCAGAAGACCCAGTAGAAGCAGCCGAGCACGAGTTAGCCATGGCAGGGGCTGCAGCAGGAGAACGAACACATTAGATGCAAAGCTTCACAGTATGCTGAAGTAGAGAGTGTTGGATCAGCCTTGTGATTTATACCCCTTATGCCATATCCCGCTGTCACCGGCTGGCTAGGTTTTATCAGGGCTCGAGGTCCCATGTCCCAGTTCCTGAAACCCAGGAGCCTAGACATCATCCTGAGCCAAGACTGGCTCGAGATACGCTGACTGTGTTTCCGGCATCGTTGCAGTACGCGTTCTTGAGGAGGTCACCACTGTTGTCCTGCGGAAATTTGTCAGTGGTCTGGGCCCGCGGTTGGGATGGGCGGTGCCGTCCCCAAATCCTTGCGTCCATGCCGCTTGGGGCATTTGCTGGTACTAGTTTTTATGAGCCCGACGGGCAGATCTGCGCGGCTGACTCGCGCACTGAGCCAAGCATAGCCAAGCTCTACAAAAGTACACGAGCCCCTATGTGATCCTGTGATCTGTGAAGCTCGCGACGCCCTGTGGAGGCAACATGCACTCTTTCAACTCCTTGGTGGCAATGTCCGGGGAGTCCATGCAGAAACCGCCATGTATCAACAATGACCTCAACAAGGAGTGCTTCTGCATCTGGGTCTTTGCCCCAAAGACTCTTGAAAGCCAAAGCTATTCGATACCACGGGTTGCCTACACAGATCCACCAAAGTGGGATCCTTGGAGGGCTTAGGGAAGCTTCACGGAAGGCTGGGGCTTAGGGGGGCCTCAGGGCGTAATGGCCTGCTCTGAGTGCTCTCGATTCCTGAATAGACCCGACAGCTTAAAGCCCTGACGCCAAACTGCACAAACTACAACTCCTCCCACCCGGAATCCCCAAGCAGCGCGTCTGAGCATCCAGGCTCGCCAGCTAACAGCGCTGCATGCCCGCAACGGGGCGTGGGCTTGGGGCCTCATACCGAGCGACCCCTCTTGAGGAGATATTAAGTTGTTACTTTACGCTTGCTTCAGAGGCTTCGCTGAGTCTCAGCGGATCCTGCAGCCAAAAGTTGAAGACTCTTCCAAAGCAAACAGGAGGCGCAGGAATCCGCGAACCCCAAAGCCGGCCACCCAACTCCTCACCCACTTCCGCAACACCCTAAGCCTCCCAAGCCTTACAAGCCCTCGCAAAGGCCCAAAGCTGCCCAAAACTTCCCCAAACTTCCCCAAACTTCCCCAATCACTCGGTCCATTGCCCTGCGTTGCAGGGCAGCTCCAAGCCATGCTCGCCAGATCCAGGCCTCTGCTGCGTGTCACATTGCTTGAAGGATGGCTTGAGTAGGGACATTTGTGGCAACTGCGGAGAGCTTAGGTTCTAGTTCTTCGAATTGGGGGTCTCTCGGTCTAGACGGAAGAGGCAAGCTATCCCAAACTCAACCTGCCGAAGAATCCTTTTGCCAATCCCTGGTCTTAGTAGCTCTTCAACAGGGCCGACCACACGGACAGCCTAAGTACACCAAACTCTGTGCTGAGCCCCTCAACCCGGATTCTATTAAAGCTTTCCTGGAAACGCTTTCGAGCCTGAAAAGCAGTCGAATGCTGGGTGCGATGCAGTGCAGGTCGCCGAAGTATCTGCCATGTCAAACGTGCGTAGCTCTTCCACAGCACCAGCTCATGCAAACGCAGTGATGGCAACGAGCATTCAAGATTTAACTTCAACCCAAGACTGGGAATCCAGCTTCACCTCTGAAATTGTGAGGCAAGATGCCCTTTCTTTCGAGTTTGGATCTGTTGATTTGGACTGGAACCCTATCTGTGGATATCTGCGGAACAAGGACCGGAAAACAGTCCCTGTCAACTCTTTCGTTTGTCCATTGAAACTGCAAGCCGAGTCCGTGCCAACGCTGCTACTTCCTACAGCAGGTTGTAAACATTGTAAACATGAACAGCAAGCGCATTCCAAGCACGAGCAGGAACGCCAACAATGGTAACTAGTACTGAGCGGCAGCTGCAAACACCAACTGCAACCAATACCTGACAAGCCACATCCAGCTCTAAAATCCTAAGCTCCCTAAACCTTCCACCTTAATCCAAAACCATGAAGTGCAAAGTGCATTCTGGTGAAACGCCTGACGGGCATTATGGGCCAGCTTTGGGTCAACCTGGACCAGCGAGCCTTGAGGGTTGGATCCTTAATCCAAAACCATCAAAACCGTGAAGTCCCAACGCCTTGGCCACTGAGAGTCCCGGCTTCCCACTACAAGTGCCGCCGAAGACAAAGAGCCGCGTCCCATGGAGGTTGGCTGTGTGACCTCGCAACCCAGCCGAAGCGCGAGACTCTCGGGATCTCTTAAATCTAGATGGACGCCCCAAAGTATCCCAGATATTGGAGCTTGGGCTTTGAGGCGTTGAGGTCTTGCTTGGATTTAAAGGCATTCTTGAACCCCAAATCCGACTTCGGTGATTTTCACAGGTCCGGGCCGTGCCGCGCGGAGGGCGCACCACCCGAGCTCGGCCCCTGGAACCTGAGCACGAGCTGAAGTCTCATGTCTAAAGGCTCTCACTTTCGAGGAATTAGGCGAAATCAAACTCCCAAACTGTCAGAAACTCTCACTGAAACGCGCTGGGACACTGGATCGTGATGGGTTGCAAACTGCTGCGCTTCCGCCCTGAGCACATGCCAGAAACTCAGGCCAACGCCAAGTGTAGTTGCTGGTGTCTAACGCGTGCAAGTCACGGAAGCAGGAGTCTTTCCCCTTGCCGCCGAAGTAGACCTGCAGCCATTTGTTTCTTCAGTGGGATAGGCAGGCATCCGAGAGACACATAGTGTTACATGTTGGTCGGCTGGATTTTGAATAGGTGAATACGAGCACTAGGAAGCTAAGGTAGTTCATTGCAGGAAGTCGAGCTGCGCTTGTCAGGTTTTAGCTTGATTATCTTGATTTCGTCGGAAGCCTTGGATGCAAGGCAAATGGCACAGGGTCCGGGAAAGAGTGTGCACGACCTGTCAAAAGGCGTGACTTAAGGAGAGCCTGGAGAGACACAGGGAGGGATTTGAGATTAGCGGTTTGGAGCTTTGCTAAGAGGCAACTTGCGAGCCTGACTGTGGCAAGAACGTTGCTATGTACTGCACGCGGTACAGTGTTGCCTTTACATCCCATGACGATCCAGCAAGCACAGGCTGAAAGCCGTGTCCCGGTCCAGGTGCTCTCAACCAGAATCGGCTCAACACTTCGAAAGTTTTTGCTAACTCTTGTTTCGACGCAGGAAAACCGTCCAATACGCACGGCAGCGCCACTTGAAACACAATGCCGCATGCTTCTCTTCGGAAGATGCGTCAAACACAATCTCACTCAAACTGCAGTGCCCTGCATTTGCAGGTAGCACACCAGTTCAGGTCCTAAGAGCTGCCGCACTGTGCGAGCGTGCGCTTCTGACCACGACGCTGGGCAGAGGAGCTCACCAGCATGTCCATCAGCTTGGCTGCCAAGGAAGGATTTTCCTGAAGGGTTGGCTGGATCGAATTCCCCAGGCCCCCTCCCTAAACAACTTGTCTTTACAGAGGACCACCCGACAAGAAGATTTGCATTGCCCAGCGAGGCGCGCAGGTTCAGAATCCTGGTTGCACGTCCAGGAGCATAGAGCTTGAGCATGGAATTGGGTCGTTTGCAGATGGAGAAACACCATCTTGAGGTTTCAAGATTGTGCACACTTAGCAACCCCTGTGCTTGGGACGCCGACATCATTTGTTGACTGTGCCCTCCTACACCAGTGCCCCCCTGTGTCTTTGACTGACATGTGACATGTCACATGTCAAGTATATTCATTGCTTCATGTTTTCAACTTTCTCCCAGATCTCTTCTCCTGCGCCAGCGGGCTGAGCTTGGCCCTGTGCACCTCGAGGAGCTCACAGTCATTGGCCCGCACCATCTCCAGGCACACGGCCTCCAGGTGCCCTCCCGAGCCTCGCTTCGCTGCGAGCGATGAATTTTCAACTCTTGAAAAGATCATTTTTACGCTTGAGAGAAACAACCTTTTGGGGTTGTCAGTGCTTTTGGGCAAGGGAGCGACTATGCCATGCTACACGCATTGTAGACCCTGGAATTTCTGGCAATGGGTATTAAATCGGTGCCGTGCATACCGGCGTGTATCGGCCTTGAACGTGTCCCAGGAATTCGAGGACGTTGTCTTCGGACAGCAGGCACTCCAATTCCTTGTCGGCTTGGGAAACGAGCTCTGCCAGGCGATACTCGTCAGCAAGGCACCTTACGGATAAAGCATATGTGGTATCGCCTTCTGAATCGAAGGTTCCATCCGTGAGGAACTGCAGAATTGCTTGGAGGTGGCGATGATTCATGCGCGGATTCAGGCTGAAATCCACCTCTCTGGTTCTGCCTTCTTTCCAGGCTTCCTGCGAAAGCATCTCTCGAAAGTAATCAGAGCGTGCGACCAAGAGACGCTCATCAAAAAACACTGGCGGCTCCTCAGCCAAACGAAAGGTGACTTGACCCAGCTTCTGGGTAAAGTCCAGCCGAGGCCACATTTTTGAGACAAGGCGATCTGCCGAGAGTGGGAACACCACCGTACACTCCAGTCGGCACCCATTTTCATTGAGCCAGCCTGAGCCGGGAGCGACAGCGTCTGCAAACGGAATCAGGCGGCAGCCATAATACATGTCTGGATGTGTGAAGGTTCTCGTCGTGTTGCGGCAGCAGTTCAGAGAGGGATCATTATTTCTCAGATTGAGGAAAATACGCACAGTGATCGGATAGTCGCGTTGTCCTTCCGGTGCCAACAGCCCAACCACTGGCCTTATCCAACGGCATCTTCGAAAACCAATGTTAGTGCCCATGGCCACTCGGATACGAAACATGTGTGCTGGCCCAGCCACCCTTGAGTCCACAAACTGTCCCTCCTTGAGTTTGGCCATGTCGGCAACCACCAGCTCGACTCGCTCTCTTCGTCCTGGTCTGATGCTGCCAGAAACATTTCCTCCATTGACTTCCGCAACGGCATGTTCAGCTGCCTCTGTAGCCATGGTCAATGTGTAGTCAACATAATCGTCTCCATAAACCTGCCTAGCTAAAGACAGCCAATTTGCACGTGGACGATGCTAACTGCAGCTTTCCCAGCACGATCCAACGCTTGCCTCCGACCCTGGGTTTGGGGTTCGTATTTAGGGTTGAGATGGAAGCATGCTACCTTCGCAACACAGCCGACGAGACCTGGCCAATCGGCAGCATCGCTGTTACTTCTTGCATTGACAGATGCCAAACAACTATAAGAACGGATCCTTCAGTGCACATGTATGTTAGCATTCTTTGCACATGTGAGCCAAAGCTGCGCTTTGGGCCTTCAACCCTAAACCCAGAAAAAGCCCAAGCCTAAAAGGCAGCCTTTCGGGTGCTCCGGCAGACGAGTTATGATTGGGGCGACCGTGATCTTACGAGGGTCCACAGTCCTCGTCTCAAACTTGGGATCCCAAGGTGCAAAAATTTGGCAGTCATGCAGAATAATGAGCAACGAGTGCCGTGGTGTCCTGCGGTTCTTGGGCAAACGATTGGGAAACTTAATCCAAGGCTCTGGTGTTGTAGCTGTATAGACTGCTTGAACTGATCGGTAGCAGGTGACTTTTCTGGAGCCTTGGCTTGTTCCATGGAAAACACTGAAGAAAAAGAGCCAAAGGCTACAGCAAGAAGGATCACTGAAAAAGCAGGCCGAGCGTGAAGCTGAGCTGTGAGACATGGCCCTTCAGTCGGCAAACCCTGCGACTCCTCCCCTAGGAGCCCCGACTCGAAACAAGGAACCTGATAGCACCTCCCTCAACCCCACAATTGGTAAGCCCGACAAGGCCGGTCAACTGCTGAGGTGAAGGCCACCCGGCTGCCGACCAAGGCGGCCGAGTGGCTGTAGCGCCTGGGGTCTGGCGCTGTCAGGGTTCACGGTTTAGGAGTTTAGGGGGGGTTTGGTGTTGATAAAGTCTGAGAAAGGCCTCATGAGGGTTTTGGGTTGAGGCATAATATATATGTGGTGAAGCTTGTAGACTCCAAACAGAACAGCGAGGATGGCCAGATGAAGAGACCCAAGAGCCATGCTGCAACCATCAGACTGCGGGTCAAGGGGTTCTGCGACTACCCGCTCAGGCTTTATGCCCTTCCAAACTTCACGAGACTCCCGAAGCTGCAGAGACTGTCACGAAATTGGGTCGGCTTGGATTGAACACTCATCTTGGAGTGGTATTATGAGAACATTATGAGAACACACAATACGAGTACAATAGGGGCAAAAAGGGTGAAGTCAGCTTTGCAAGGCTGCTCTGGGCTATCAATGGAAGCTGGGAACATGTCCAGCATGGCGGCATGCTTCAGCATGTCCTGCTACTTGCTGGGACCTGCTGTAGATGCCGGGACGCTTCGCAGCCAACCCAACAGGGAACAGAAGAACAGGACCTCATCCATCCGTAAAGCACCACCACGACATATTGCGACAGCATGGGATGTGTTGAAGCTCTCCTTGATGGAGCGACTGCAGTGCATGTGTCGTCCACATTGCGCTGAGCTTGCCCTCTTGTTTCCCGACGAACGCCGAGGCCAGAAGGCCTCGCAGATGGCGATCCAAACAGAAGCCAGGAGTCAGGAGATGATCAGTGTTGACATTCGGCCGCCATATCGTCGGTCTGCAGCTGTCCGTTCGGCCTTTAAGCCATGCACTACATGCCCAGGGCTCGCACATGCTGGTCCGTCCGGTAATTCGACTGCTGAGGCCGAAGACCTCAAACTTGCCATCCGGACGAAAGTCAGTCTTCATCCTTCTGCAGGTGTCAACCCGCGCGGATTGCAATCCGGATGGGTTTGAAGGCCTTCTGCAAAGATGATCATGCAACGACATGCAGCGCATGCCTGTGCAAGCTCTCCTTTGCGGGTCGGTCATGTTCTGGTGACCGGTTGCATACACACTGAGATCACAAGCATTGCTTTGTCCGGGAGATAGACCGCGAAGGATGGATGACACAACCCGCGCGGATTGCAATCCGGATGGGTTTGAAGGCCTTCTGCAAAGATGATCATGCATCGATATGCAGCGCATGCCTGTGCAAGCTCTCCTTTGCGGGTCGGTCATGTTCTGGTGACCGGTCGCATACACACTGAGATCACAAGCATTGCTTTGTCCGGGAGATAGACCGCGAAGGATGGATGGCACAACCCGCGCGGATTGCAATCCGGATGGGTTTGAAGGCCTTCTGCAAAGATGATCATGCATCGATATGCAGCGCATGCCTGTGCAAGCTCTCCTTTGCGGGTCGGTCATGTTCTGGTGACCGGTCGCATACACACTGAGATCACAAGCATTGCTTTGTCCGGGAGATAGACCGCGAAGGATGGATGGCACAACCCGCGCGGATTGCAATCCGGATGGGTTTGAAGGCCTTCTGCAAAGATGATCATGCATCGATATGCAGCGCATGCCTGTGCAAGCTCTCCTTTGCGGGTCGGTCATGTTCTGGTGACCGGTCGCATACACACTGAGATCACAAGCATTGCTTTGTCCGGGAGATAGACCGCGAAGGATGGATGGCACAACCCGCGCGGATTGCAATCCGGATGGGTTTGAAGGCCTTCTGCAAAGATGATCATGCATCGATATGCAGCGCATGCCTGTGCAAGCTCTCCTTTGCGGGTCGGTCATGTTCTGGTGACCGGTCGCATACACACTGAGATCACAAGCATTGCTTTGTCCGGGAGATAGACCGCGAAGGATGGATGGCACAACCCGCGCGGATTGCAATCCGGATGGGTTTGAAGGCCTTCTGCAAAGATGATCATGCATCGATATGCAGCGCATGCCTGTGCAAGCTCTCCTTTGCGGGTCGGTCATGTTCTGGTGACCGGTCGCATACACACTGAGATCACAAGCATTGCTTTGTCCGGGAGATAGACCGCGAAGGATGGATGGCACAACCCGCGCGGATTGCAATCCGGAAGGATCTTGATCCGAATCCAAGTGTCTCTTCGCCAAGTCGGACTGCAAACTTGGATCATTAAGTTGCAACCCTTGCATGCCTGTGCTAGATGGCTCCATCCCTCCAAAGTCAACGAGGCCCCCAGTACTCCTGCAGCCATGGCACGGAAGAGGCGCCGTACCCCGACACCGCCTCGACTTGGTTCGTACAGTTGAGTCTTTGGCTTCATGGGGTTGAGACTTAAGGTTGAAACCGGTTTGCATTGTTCAAGGACTTCAGATTCTAACTTCAGATTGCAACGAAAAAAACGTCGCTTAGTTGCATCCAGCGAGTCTCGTGACTATTTTGCAGTTGGGCACCATGTGGCGCACTAGTTCGCCCCTGCTTGCAGTTCTGATGAATCAGCGGATGAGATGTTGAACAGTGCCTGAAAGTTAGATGAAAGAAGTGATCGATTTTAAAGGGATTGACGCTTGGAACAATACACCCACACCAGACGGGGCATCCACGGAACGGTCCATGTGTTCTCATCGATGTCGAGGATGTGCGTATCATTCAAGTAGATGAAGCCAGCCTGCAAGCTCAACATCGGGCCCTCATGGACTTGGACTGTAAGAACTCGTACACCAAGGTGCTTGACTCTTGGCTACCGTCACAGAATGACGTCTTCTGTACTTCCACAACTTCGGTGTGATTGAGCTTTTTCACTCCGGACTCCCATTGCCCGATATTCTATGCCATTGAAATCTCCGCCGCATTCCCATTCCCTAGCAGTAAGCATTGGCACGGACTACCCCATGCAGGATGCCACACTGCTTACCTGGTCGAAAGAATGCCATGTACGTCCAAACAGAACTCCTGAAAGACTAGACCAGCAGGAAAACGACGGACTGTAACAACAGCTGAATCAAGCGATCGAGCATCAGACGTCGGATCCAGGCTATCGCTTTCAGAGCAGGTTTTGGGGTTAGTATAATGTTAGTTGCTACCCACTGAGCTTACCTTCCCTAAACGAAGATGTCTCTGGTGCGCCAAGCACAAAGTACATGCGGAGTTTGCTGAGTCTACTCGCGCGCACACCTACAAATGACGTCAAACATCGTGAGCCCCAATAACACGAATCGCAGGCAAGTTAATGTATCTATATATATGTATATATATATATATATTATACATACATACATACATACATACATACATACATATATATATATATATATATATCTACACATATATTGAATGTAACTCCTGGCACCGGGGCTTCAACTCCCGCGCCCCCATCGTAGTGCCCGCCGAAGATCACAATCCGCGCCTGAGGCCGAGAATCGCAAGGGTGGTTTAAAAGTTTAGGGTTTAGAGCTGAACATTTGGAACTTTGTGGTAAAGCGGTCGGGGGGTTGGGAGTTGAGGGGCGGGGAACTGGCTTCATCTTCGGACTCAGGTGCTTTGGGAGTACCCCACATCATCACGGCTGCATGCTGACTCCATGACTAGCAGTAGACAGGGGGGTGCAATCGGCCAAAGCCTTGAGCTGGACCATGTTCACACGCTGAGACCATGAGTGTAGGGTTCTGGCCGAAGGCTTCTGCGGATCGGTGGGGCCTACGAGCCTGAGAGACTTTGGCACAAGCTGGACGGGTTTGAGGATTGGGGTTCGGTCGGGGTCGAGTGTGCTGCATGTGTAAGCCATACCGCGATGCAAAGGCTATGAGATGGTACGAGTACCGGCGGATCTGGGCCGCCATTCGATCCACTAGGCCAGGAGAGAGTGGTGAAGACCCCAACCCAATGGGAGCTACTAGGCACAATGATGTTGGTGCGATTGTCCGCCCGTCAAGCACTCTCAAAGAACTTGCGAGCTCCCTGCACTATTCTCTGAAACGTTTCAAGTCTGTGCGCAGCTTGCCTCGCGCCTTAAGTTGTGAGTGCACGGAAAATCTGAACCCACCAAAGCCGAAAAAAGCTGGGAACCCTACGGTTAGTTAGTGATAGCACTCTATGTGTGGTACTTTTCGAAATGGCCGCATGGGCCCTGGCGTCGCGGTGTGGCCGCCCCGGGCACACGGCCCTTCGCCTGCGGGATTGTTCGGGCTTGCCGAAGACATGCCACAGAATTTCTGAGCGTGGCACGGCAATTGCTGTGCTGAAGCTGTAAGCTTCATGAGTCGTGCAAGTTCAGCCCGCAGTTAATGATTCGCGATGCTCCACCCAGGCATGCGCCTTCCACCTGCGGCCGCGCCCACTGCCACTGCCTGTGACAAGGCCGTCCAGATTCGATGGCACACAACTATTGTTGCTGTGCCTGACATTTTCACTGTGGCTACACTGATGACAAGTGTCCGTCCATGGTCAACAGATGTCGATTTACATTGCGCCTGTCTTTGACTGCCGGCGCCCCATCCTCGAGCTCTCAGGGGTCGTCAAGGGTAGCTCATGACAGCTCGGGATTCGGGGCAAAGAGGTTCTTGCAATTGCAAAAAACCCAGCCACAAAGCAAGGGGTGCTTGTAAGTAGTAATTATGGTGCAGGGTTGTACCAAGGCGGTAACATGGGGTTGGGTAGAATCGGTGAGAGTTCACATCTTGAACAACTAAGTTAAGCGGGCCCCCACTGACCTGCATGGAGGTGAGCACTAAAACCTGCAACGCGCGACAACGTTCCTTCATGTTCCTGCCATTCTTTCCAGACCTGTACGATGTGGAAGCTGGAAGCCAAGGCATCGGCCGAGACAGGGGCAGCGGTCAGGCGTGTCATAGGCGGCTCGTACGCCTCTGCGTTCCACAGGCGCGGGCTATGAAGGATCCGAACACCGGAAGCCCTGAAGTTGACCTCATGATGTCGCTGTTAAAATTTTAGTGGTCGGCATTTAGCATGGCCAGGGGGGGAGGTGAAAAGCTTTTGAAAGATTTGTGGAGCTTCAGAGCTGAAAGCTTTCCTGCGTGGGCGCATGCCATCAGGGATCCGTAGGAGAGCCCCGGAACTCCATCAACACTCCATAAGACGGCGCCTCATTGTGAGCGTTCAAGGGCTGCAGCACCTTGCTCGAAGGAACGTCTCGATGCACGATTGTACAATGGCTAGTAGGCTTATAGCATATAGTGGTATGCACTGCAAGTAGCACCACGAAGCCAGTAAATAACTATGGTGGCAACGCAGCTTTCGCATTGTGGCACTCACATGGGTCTGCCATGCAAACAATCACCTTAAAGTTTGGACAGACACAAAAGATTCCCCACTCTTCGCTACAAAGGCCTTTGCGGCAAATGCAGCCAGCATGCAGAGCCCAAAAGTTGATGTGGAGTGTCAGGGTGTAAGGCTCAGTTGTCCACAGCTTCAAGTCACTGATGTCCTTGACCAAACCACCACACCTTATTCACATGCTTTATTCTCCGAATTTAAGCACTCAACTCCAGCTGCTAAGCCTGAACCCCAAACCTCCCGCCTTGGAAGTGGCCATGGCTGCGCGGAAGCCTCCGGAGAAGGAGCAAATGTTCAGATCTGCACCGGAAGACTAGACCCTAAAGACCCTCAGACTCCTGACCGGCACAGTGAGACACATGGATAGCCTTTTGGTGGCAAGGAGCTTGCAGCACTTGCATGGGGACGTTTTCGTCAAGGAAGGACAGGAGGAAGCCAGGTTCACTTGACTTTGCTTCGGACAACCCCTTCGCAGTTCAAGCAAAGCCTCGGCCCCGTCAGCAAACCTCAACGCTGAACGCCCTAAACCTCCTCAGGCGGCCTCCGCTTTGAGGCCTGCCGCATGCATGCCGCAGCCACCCCCTTGGTCGGGAGGAAGGGATTATGATTCTGGCGTCTTTAAGGTGCTTCGGCGCGTGATTCAAGGTTTTAGGGCTCAGGCTTTGGGGTTTGCTTGCTTTTTGCTTCATGGCATCATGGTACGTTGGGCAAGACATTCTTGTGAACATGCTGTCGTGGCCATCGGATTGCTGGGAAGACATTGGGTAGTTCTCTCGGTCAGTCGCAGACAATTGGCCAGACTGCTGCTGTCGCAAGCACCCCATGGACCATAGCCGAAGTAATTACAGAGTTTTGAGTGTCTCCTGCCTGAAACAAGAGTCTCAAGGCCCACATTTGCGAAAAGAAACCTGTGCTTGTTTACCCAAGGCCCTGACAGATGTTCCGACTCTCCTTCCAACGCCAGGCGATTGAGCCCAAGGCAAGGTAGGCACGCAAGCATCTTTAAGATATCCCCTTCAAAACATGAGAACCTTTGTCATGGGCAGGTTGTGTCACTCGCGTTTTGGATGCGTGCTCTTGCTTCGGGGTGGCCTCTCGAAATTGAGTCAGTCACAAACTTCTTAGCACCAACTCCAAGACTCTGTGGTAAGGGCCGCTGATCTTACGTAGGCTCAAGTTTCGGGGCATGCTTGTCAGGTTACGTAACTGTCAGATCCTTTAAAGCCCCAGCTTTGAAGCTTCTCTTAGAAGACCATGGAAGAGACCCATATGTCTTCTGTATAACACAAGGCTGAGGGTCTTGATTTTGTGCCTCGCTCTGCCTTCTGGACTGTCATGCAGCGCGAGGACCATGGCCAAACAATAGACGTTCTCTCTTGTCACATGGTTAATCCCAGAGTTTTCTGACGCTTTGTAGACCGCCTCATTGCTCAATAAGATCGGAATGTTGATAAACATGTCTTCTCCCTGTGTGCTGAGAGCGTGTGGGCACATTTTCAACACATCGCACAAAGCTAGAGGTGAAACATCCAGCTGCGCTTCAAGGCTTGCAGAATCCATGCTTCAAACGCTGATCTACCCACATCTACCCACTCTCAGCTGGTGCACTCGGATCTGGCAGAACAATCAATGTGGTTGCTGGGGAAAGGCGTATCCGAGTCAGACTGCATGCTTGGGATTCTTCATTGAGCATCTCAGCTTCCCATCAAGCCACGGCTCAAGAAAGTAACACACACGCATTTTTGTGAATTTGCTGCGCTTTGTTCCAGCATCTCTGTGGGATGCTCAGGATTTCTGCAACCAAACCCACTGAGCGGGTGAGAGAAAGGCGGCGTCGTGGAAGAAGGGATTCTGAAGCGACTCTGCGGTTTTAATTGAGTTTTAACGTAGGTGTTACAGCTCACAAGTTGGAGGCCCCTCAGCTCCGAAACATAAACCCCAAAGGCCTGAATTCGCAACTGCCATAAACCCTGAAGCTGAAGTCCATTCCCGAGGCTTCGGCTTGAGAGCCACTCCCGAAAGGCTGGTAGCCTCGGAAAAGAGGGGCGGGGGGCGGTGTCCAGGGATGATAATTCAGGGGCTTAGAAAGGCTTTGGGTTTTGTGTTCTGTCCACAAGCTTAAGAGTAGGGTTCACGGGATTGGGGCGTATAGGGCTTAGGGTTTAGGGCTTTGGGGAGGCAGGGCGCGGGGGGACAACTTTATCTCAGGGCTAGGTGTTTCGGAGTGATGAGGCCTGTTTGTGCTGCTTTCCCGCTGGGCATCCCAGCACACCAGCGTCATCTAAGTCCTTCTCGCTGAAGGATGCCATAGCTTCTTGGAGTGCCTGAGACTCACGAAGAAGGCGCAGAAGCATTCGATTTTTGGAACTTCGATGTCATGCCCCACCGCAC